TGTGATGGGGGGAGGACGAATTACTTAGACATTATACATAAAATTGCACCTAATATTTTTAGAATATATTTGATATTAATACATAGTTGTATATGATTACATGTATTTTTACAGGTAAATCTTCTTTCTCACAACTAGATAGTGAAGCTCTTAAAAGACAACACCTGTCTTGTGTGAAACTGTAAACTTAGAGCCTGCACATGATAGGAACTTGGAAATATTTTGGATGCTTCTGAAATAGCAGCTTCCTTTCAGCAACATCATCCTTATTGTTGGTGGCGAATACCTCCGAGCTGTATCATCCAGTGCTGGTGCTGAGTACGTACACACAGAGTCAGTATTTAACGAGCAGACAACACCCTGGCCCCTATGCTGTAGCTCAGGGCTTGGGAGACGTATCGGCCTGATACATGAAAAGTGCCCACAGGAGGTGCCTCATGAGCTTCTGAAGAGCAGGTTAGGGAAGGAAAAACTTTTTCTCAACTCCACGTACTGGCTCTAGTTCAAATAAAATTTTGCTGTGGCCTTTAGGCAGCCATGTCAGATATGTCTCAGCTCTAGAATTATTTAATGACCGAACATTCAAGGGTATTTGAAAAAAAAAAAACCTCACAGGAAAAAAAAATCCTCACAGAACTTCCTGTGATGGTTCAAAGTGTAATCAGAGCAAATAATACAGATTTCCCTTTTATTGTAACCACAGTGGAAAAGCAAAGCTTGTGTTTACAAAGCATGTTGTTGGGGAGACCTTTGTAAATTGTAATCTTTGGAAATCCCAGACCTATTGGATGTAATCCCATCCATTAGATGGGGGCCTATGTAGTAGATCCCAAATAGCAAGTTAAATTGAGAGCCTGAACAGGAAGCCGTCATTAAGAGTTACAGTGGGTAGGATGCAGAGTTAATTTGGGGAGATATTTTGTTATGAGATAATTACATCACTAGGACAGCTGGAAAGTTGAGCACCGGGCTGGACCGCTGTGCCTGTTCTCTGCCCTGCAGCTGGAGGGTCAGGACAATAGAGACAGCAAGAGAACTTATTTTATGGGACACTCAGAGGCTTGGCTGACTTAATTGTGAAATGATCGTGATCTGCCTTCCTGGTTTGGATTGCATTTGCACAGCTAAGCTAGATGCATAGCCTTAGCAAATGCCAAAGATGTCTTTTTACTCCCATTTTTTGAAAAAATATTCACTTGCATCACATTGAATGAAGCTCTCATGGGTAGATTTGAATGATAATTCTGAAAGTAACCTGATATTACATTCATGTTCCAAACAGTATGATTGCATTTTTCTTATGGAAGTACAGTTATACAGTCATTGAAGTAGGATTTCTGTCAGTTTTCTAAACAAACTAACAAATAAATGTTTTAGAAAGGCATAAAAATGTTGGTCAACACAAAAGTCATACAGTGAAAGTTATACTCCAGTGTTTGTGTTCAAATGTTCAGACCTGCACGGCTCTTTTGTTTTGCAAGTGTGTGGGTCATAGGCAGCCTAGCCACATTCCTCATTGATTTATATACATACATACTGTTAACCTCCAGCCAAATACCAGGGATTTCAGCTCTTGTTCAGCTCAGTTGCTTTTTATGAAGCTTGTTTGTTATATTAAAGTGTCTGTCTTATCTCTCACCAAAATGACTATTATTTGATTTGGAGTAATTCTAGAGGGACTCATAGATGAAGAGCATCATAAATACTCTGAAATTTTCAAAGTTAATATTCACAACTATTGTCTTAAAGTGCATTTTCTACCCATTAAAACTAATGTAACTGTTAACTGTTACTCCAATAATATTTATTAAAAAATTACATCAAACAAAATTTCATATTTTACTAAAAAACTATATTTCCCAAATGTCTCCTCTGAAGTGGGGGTCTATAGGGTATGAATGGCAGCACTGGAACCAAAGCAAGGAGCGCATCGTACAGACAACTTAGGACTGTCACTTGGTGCCCTCGTGAAAGTAATATGTGCCACTTCCCACAGGAAAGTAATAAAAATATCTTCATAATTAAAAAGAGTATCTCCTTGCACACAGGCCAGTAGTGACCTCAGCCTTGACCAAATTCACCATTTTTGTAGCCTAAAAATACATTAAAATTCATACAATAATATTCTGTTGTATATACTGTCATGTATCTCTGTAGTTCATCCCACATTTTAAAAATCTACCAATATAGAGTGTTTTTTTCCAGTTTAATCACATGTTAAATCAGCAGTGGCACACGTCTTGGATAGCTTTGATATTTGATTTTGTTTTGTTTTTGGGTTTTGGTGGTACTGGAAATTGAACTCCAGACCTCATGCTTGCCAGGCAGGCGCTTGTACCACCGAGCCATGTCTCCAGCCCCTTGAATAGCCTTTGAAAGTTACATGTGTGGTCTGTTTACTGCAGGTGGCATCCGTGAATCTTAATATTTTAAACTGAATGGTGTTATGTAACTCTGAGGAAAACAGCCTGGGTGAGCTAGGGTTATTCATGAATTGTATCATGCTAAGAGTGTTTGATAATAGTTTCAGTGAGATGAAGCAAGAGCAGGCTGCCAGAGCTGTTAGGTAACTTCCAACACAACGGTTCGGGGAGCAGGTGACCTTTGGGTTCAGCCGTGTTTCAGGATCATTCTATTCTCCCATTTTGTACTCGGCAACATTTCTTTCATTTTAGAAATTGCCAAAATGTCTTACATTCATCATAGACTATAAATGTAATAAGAACTGGAGTTGATAAAGTCATTAGACTGACAAGCAGTGTATTCTTTTGTTAATTATGGTGAAATGTTCTTTAATGTTTGAGAAGCACAGCTGTCGTGGATGTATAGTATGACAATTTCCATGTTTGTATTTGATTTAGTACCTGTCATTTGCGTTCATTGTTTTCATTGCAACTATGCTAGTCACAGATACAAAGAAGCTTGGTAATTTTGGAGCTCTTTTTTCTGCTTCAAAAGGAAGAAAAAGTGAAGTTGTTCAAGAACATATGTTTAATAGGAATAATATGGCTCACAGAAGCCTATTAATAAATGGTAGTTATTACCTCAAATAGAAGATCAAGAACATTTCTGATAATCTTTCTGTTAAATTCATGCATGATAGCAATCATACTTTAAATAGTGTATAGCACTTATGTGATTTATGACACTGTCTTTAGTAAATTTATTAACTATGAGTTTTCACCTTGTCAGAATACTTTTCCAGAATAAGTCAGTAAGTAATAGAAAATACTGTTTAGAAATAGATATGAAGACATAAAATCAGAATATCTGAAAGTAGTAAATGTGAGAGGGGAAAATTCAGTTGGTTTGGGTTGCTTTTCACATAGTTATAGAATTCACCCCAGATTGCCCATAGTTGAACAGTACTTTAGGTCTGGCTGTGACGTATGTATGGTCATTGGTATACTGTTGTTTGCCCCACCAGATTTAAACTAATTGAAGTGTTCTTTAGATTTTTAAAAATGAGTTTAGATTCACAGAATAGTACCAAATGTTGTAGGACCCATACCCCAGAAACGTAGGTTGGTATGTTTCAACGCCAAGGAGGGCATTGAAAACGTAACAAAAGGAATATACAGACCAGACCAGGACAGACTGTGAGCTCAGTTTATAGTAACTGGGCTTCATGTACACATACAGTTGATTTCTTTGAAGAGGGTATTTATTTAATATTTTAATGAGAAAAATAGTATGACTAGCATTTTATTAGCTCTTTCTTAGTATTTATGTTGCATTTTGTTAAAGAACTTTCCTTACAGCTTGTTTATGGCTGGTTTAATTCCTCAAACATTTGGTGAGAATCTCTTCTGCCAGATAGCATGCTATGACTGAAACTAAAGGACATTTTGTCCTTTGGCGTGAAAATTCTTTTGACTACTGGAAGCTGTTTTTGTTTGTTTTTAAAACTTAAATTTTGAATCAATTGTAATATCTTAGAAAGAAACTGGATTTCCAATGCAAAGTTAATTATAGTATTTGTCAACTTGTTTTGTCACTTAAGGGCAGCACAGTTTCCCAGTGCAGTTTTTTTCTTCCTCAAAGACAGGAATTTAAAACTTTTGTTTATTTGTGAAATTATTTAATAAAGCTAATTAATAGATTTGTCACATTCCATACTTATCATTTTTGTGGTGAAACATTTAAACTCTTGTAGCAATTTTGCGATATACACTGCACTGTTTGTTAGTTGCACTTCTGGGCAGTAGTTCACCAACACAGCAGAAAAATATTATACCATGTCCCATAAGTACATATAATTATTATCTGTCACAAAGACAATTTTAAAATTCTTAAAAATTTTTCAGTATTGGTTTTAACCTAACTTTTAGAATTTTAAACTCAATTTAAGAATGTGTAGGCCAGGCATGATGGTGCACGTAGGATTAAAGCCAGCTTAGGCTACATAGTGAGTTCAAAGCTAGCCTGGACTACATAGCGAGACCCTGTCTCAAATTAAAAAAATAAATAAATAAAATAAAATAAAGAGTTGATGCCCTTTACAGAGAAATAGTAATTTGACTTACTAGGAAGGGAAAGCTGCCATAGAACTTTTCAGGCGTGGTTCTGACACCTCAAATTCCAGGAAAATCTTCATTGCAGAGTCCAAAAAATGCTTAATTTATCTACAATAATTCTGAAACTTCAGCCAAGAAGAAGCATATTTTGCCTGGACTGCAAATTTTTAAAACTGTTTCCATCAACAAGTTCAACTTAAGGTCTTAACTGAGGACACTCTGCAGTTAGGTGTTTGGAACTCCAGTCAGGTTGCTTTGGATTGTCTCGATGTTAACCAAGTGTTTCACTTGTGTTCCTCTCCTGAATTTCCATGTTGATAAAAAGAACCAAACTCATTAAATGTCTTTACATAGGTTACAGTAGGAATGATAGACACTGGCCCTCTTTTGCCCTAGTATGTGATGAAATCAAGGGATATGGGTAAGATACGTAGACTGTTTCTTTACTTATTTCTACCTGCTTAATCTCCTTTTTTCTTCTAGGTTGTTTGATGTGTGCACAGTGTCTCGGACAGACAGAGAAACCAAACTGACACTAGTATTCGAACATGTTGATCAAGACTTGACCACTTACTTGGACAAGGTTCCTGAGCCCGGAGTGCCCACCGAAACCATAAAGGTACTGACAATCATGTTTTTGCCTCATCTATGAAGCAGTTGCATTCTTTCCTTATGAAAATTGCCAGAATTGCAGCTTTGGGAACTAACTGTATGAAGTATCAACTAAGTAGTATATTCAAAGCATGAGACATACTCTAGCTCATCAACTAACTGGTGTATTCAAAGGATGGGATACATTTGAGGTCATTAATTTTAGAATGAAATGAAATAACCCATTTCAATGCCTATTAAACTCATTTTTAAATAACTATACATTGTCTGGTTCTAATTTTAGAAAGTATAGTGTACTAAAGGTGAATCAGTCGTTTTCTGCTGGGGTATGTCTTAAGGGACAAATGTGAAACGTCTCTCATGATCAAATTGTACATTGTAATTAATTCTAAATGGATTCTGGGGCATTTCTAATTTTGGGCCCTTCTTCCTCCCTTTATTTCCATTGGTAAGTGTTATAGGAAGCCTAAGTGCTAGCTTGTATGCCTGTAATAGTCAGTCTTGATTTTTTTCACTACATCGGCTTAAGAGACACCTAGAAGATTAGTAAAACACACTTTGGGGTGTATGTAAGTAGGCCATAGGGGTGCGGCTTAGGGACCACATCAAGTCCTATACCCCTTCCTTTTGGAGTCTTCCCCCATTCTCTGCTTCCACTTGACTTGACTTCAGCAGCTGTCCTCCACTGTACTTACCATGTTTCTGCCTTGGAACCTGCTGCCTATGGACTGAAGCCTTTGAACCATGAGCCAAAATAAAACCTTTGTCCTCTTTTTTTGTGGGGGGGTGGTGGCTCAGCCTGCCCTGGAGGTGGGGCTTGCCCACATTTGGTGCGGGGATTTGAACTGTGGGCCCTGTGCTTACCTAAGCAGGTGCTTTAGACCGCTGAACTATCTCTCCAGCCCCAAGCCCTTTCTCCTTTTAAATTTTAATGTCAGGTCTTCCATCCCAGCAACAGAAAACTGACCAAAAAGTTCCGAACTCAGGATTCACAAATGACTAAGACATGATATTTTAAATATTTAAATTTTTGTTAGTTCATGTTCACAGTCTGTAATAATCATATTCATCTTGGGGAGTTGGGACATGGACAGAATACATCTTAATTTTTCTTTCATCTTCCCCTCATCAACCCCCACTTGCCCCTCCACCTCTAGGTCCTCCTCCCATTTGAGAAAAAAAAAAAATTCATTGTTCCTATTATCTGTCTTTTATTTTGCTTTTTAAGTGTGTTTTGGGTTTCTCACTTAAGAACTTGTTTGTCAGATTTATTTCATTTAACGTTATAGTCTCAAGGTGCACCTGTTTTCCCACCAGTGACTCAAGTTCTTTCTCCTGAAGGCTAATGGGGAAAGCTGCTAATAAAGTTTTCTTATTTCTTTTATTCTACATAAGTGAATCTCCTAGATCTTCTCAATGTATGTGCGTGATGTGCAAGTCTTCCTGACCTCTTTTTCTGAATTAGGTAGCTTCAGCATACTCCACATGTTAAAATTCATTGCTGATTTTACCTTGGTGTAGGAGAGGGACCTCCTAAATGTAGCTATTTCTGCATCTGTTCTTGGTCCTTTTCTCTATCTGCACTGCTTCTTTTCTCTGACATCCTATTTCATCCCTGTAGCTTCATTTCTTTCCCTTTATAAGCTTGTCAGAAACAGTGCTCCCCATGCAGAGCAGGGCCTGATCCCCCCCTTTTTAATTAGATAACTACTCAGCGTTCTCTTAGCGTGGGCTGTGTCTTCCCACCTCAGTGGCCCTCTTGCTCATGCTGTTTCTTCTGCTCTTCCTCCCATCGGTCACTGTCTGCCCACCCAGAAACCATTAGATTAGTTCTTACAGGTTCATGTTGTCTCATTGGCCTTATGCCCCTTATCCTATAGAATCGACTTCATCATGTATCTGCCTTAAATTAATTACTTACCTACATCCTATCTGCATGCATCCCTGTATCCTCACCATGCCATACACGGTGATGTATACATACAAGCACCATGAATAAGATGGATCGCCAAGCTTGCATCAGATAATTATATTAAAAATTACTTCCAGCAGCTTACATATAAACTATCAGACTAATAATTGGCTTTTTCTGATATATTTCTAATTTCAAAGTTATTTTTGGGATTGTCATCTCTTTGAGGAATGGGGCGACAAAGTAACTCTATGTTTCTGTCCTCCATTACCCCATCCACAGACTCTTCTGAGCCTCATGTCGCGTATTCCTGGGATACTCTGGGCTGCTAAGGGGCATCGTTTTTAGAGTATCTGTGCAGTTACAGTGACTGACAAGCTGCAGTGCTGTGTTCCGCAAAGCTTGGTCAGGCGGAAGTAGAGCTGGGTGGGAAGGGGGCTTCCCAAGGGTGGGTGTGGAGGAGTGGTCAGGAGAGGACAAGGAACAGGCGAGCCCGTCTTGGAAGTGGGGTAGAGAGAGAGCGGGGAGAAGCCGCAGAGCGCCCTGTCTCCTCTGTAGGGCAGGGGAGGAGCCTTACTAGAACTTGAAACAAAGCAGCTTGTTAACAGGTTTTGTTTATTCTTCTTTATGTAACATTTTGATAAAGTAAGGGTAGGGTGTAGGCCTGAACTGAATGATGTTTGTCGAGACCCTCATAGGAGTAAAGCAGAATTGTAGGTGGTTCTTTTCAGTCTTAAGGATGCCATATTCTTAAGACTGAAATGTACAAATAAACAAATGTTTATTAAACAAATGTACATGTACATTTTATTTATATTTCATCCCGAGATCTTCAGCCTTTTTCTTTTTAATCTTAAATATCCTTTTCTTCCATTCTTCCTTCCCTCCTTGCCTTCTTTCCTTCCTTTCTTCCCTCCTTCCCTCCATCCCTCCCACTGTCCTTTCTAGGGTGGGCACTTTGGTGGGGATTGAGCTCACGAAGTACTGAATTACATCCATAGCCCTTTTTATTTATTTTTTATTTATTTATTTTTGAGGAAGCATCTTGCTTCCAAGGCCGGCTTCCAGCTTGCCTTCCTGCCTCAGCCTCTGTCACAACACCCAGCTTGAATCTCTTATGTGGTGCTCTTAAAGGGCCTGTCCATTTTGGTTGGTAGTGACACTGACATAAAGGAGCCTGCTGAGTGCTGTACTGTGATGTCAGCAAATGTTCTAATGTCCAGTAAGCTTGTAATGAACTTACCTGGCTTGCTTTTTTTTTTTTTTTTTTGCTTTGCTTTTTAGTGCATATTACTTACACAAACTGGGATTTCTTCTTGGCATGTTTATTACTTGTATCAAACATACTTTGATTATCCCCCTATTACTAACGATTTCCTTTTTTCTTCCCTGTCCCTATTCCTTCCTCTTCTCTAAGAGTCTCCCGCTCACCCCCTAGATTCCTTGTGTGAAAAAACACACACAGTGTTTGACTTTCTAACTATACCAGGGACTGAACTCAGGACCTTCGCACTGACCTATATCCCATGCTTCCTTTTCCATTTTGTTTTGAGACAGGTTCTTGCTAGGTCACTAAATCGCCCAGGCTGGGCTCAACCCTAGAATTGTCTTGCTCCACCTCCCCGTGTATTAACAGGCATGTGCCAGCATCCCTGGCTGATTTGACTTTATTATTGAGTCTGGCTTATTTCACTTCCTGTGATGATGTCCAGTTCTGTCCACTGTCCCACAGATGACATGATTTCGTTCCTCTCTATGGCTGGGATAGTATTCTGTTGTGTCTGTCCACTGTACTTCCATCCGTCCATCCGTTGTGGATAGTGGGGCAGTTTCTGGAGCTTTGTTGTCGTGCATTGAGCTGCAGTAAGCGTGACTGTGCAGCTCCCTGTGTAGTATGCTGCCTTTAATTGTTTTGGAATATGCTGAGGAATGGTAGAACTAACAGTAGCTCAATTTTTACTCTTTTTAATTTTAAAGAGAAGAAAATAATAAAAATGATACAGAATTTCAAAACAGGATGATGGGAAATTTACAATGCTTATGATATTGCATATTGTTAACTTCACAGTAGTTCCTTTCAATGAACTTACAGAAATTAGTAGTATTATCTTAGCTATCTTGTGTGTACATATATATTTTTTCCCTTTTTTTTTCTCCTTCCCTCCATCCCAGTTCTTTCTTTTTAAATAATTTTTTCCTTTTCACAATATCAGTTGTGCTTTTTGTATCTTATTTACTCTTTCAGTTTCTTCTACTTGCTATAAAGATAAACTCAAAGCTTTTATAGGTAAATGGGTGCAACTGGAGACCATACTCATAAGTGCAATTAAACAAACTTGTGTGTGTAAATATCACATTGTCTCCTTATTTTATTTTTGTGAGGCACTTTTATACCAATTTCCATAATGGCTATACTAAATTACAATTCTCGCTAACAGTACAGAAGTGTTCCTTTACGCATACATTCTCATTGACTTTTTATTTAATTTTTTTTAATGAATTTAGGACAGGGTCTCCAGGGTGTCCAGGGTCTCACTACTAGATTGGACTCTTAGTGGTCCACCTGTGTGCAGCCTCCCAAGCGCTGGGATTACAGGCGCGCACCACCATGCCCAGTCTCAGTTGCCATCTCAGTGCGCCCTGGGGACGGGGCTGGCACAGCACATCAGGGATCGAACCCCAGCCTTTGCACTCTGCTGAAGCAGGAACTTTAGTCTGCTGAGCTAGCTATCTGGCCAGTCTGGCTTTTTATTTACTTCTTTCTAATTTATACTATCTTTGGATCAGGTTTTTTGGGGTAGGGTGTTCAATGCTATTTTACTTAAATTTTAAAGATCATTTGAGATTAAAACTCTTATAGGACTTCCATTTATTGCGTAATAGTCAACACTTAATGATTATATTAATTTTTTCCTTTAGAATTCATGGTAAATCTAGAGTATCTGCTTATATAGCACCTTCAGTTTATGGGGACATTATGAAAATAGGCTTTCACTTTTTTTTTCTTTTTCATGCTTTTATCTGCCACCCTATGAGAAAAGATTAAAAAGAACTATAATGAACCCAAGCATGGTGCCTCATGACTGTAATCCCAG